GAGCGGTGCTCGCGAAAGCTGCTAATTATAGTACGCATGTTGTCGGGTGGCCACTACGGACTATAAATACTGCGCACTCTATGCCTCTGTCAGCTTTTCCTGCGATTGTCTCTCATGACAGGTTTGATCGTGAACGTCGCAACGTCAAGCCAATAAACCTCTTGTTCCAGTGCTTGCCTGATCTTCTACTGAACTGCTTCTTGGAGCTCGCCTGTTCGGTTCTATCAATAAATCCGTTTGAATTTACATGAAAAAAATGAATTTGCTTTCTGTAAGCATGTCCTTTTTAATAAATCCCACTGAATAATATATGTGTATTTCTCCTGCTATCATATTTAGGTTTTATTCATTTCAGCATTCGAATAAGTTTCCAAAGTTAACAGTATTCCTTATAGCTTACATCGTAAAACTCAGCGTTAATATCTGTGTTAAAATGCTACTTTTCTTGTCATTAAGAAACCTACATCTTACGGAAGTTGTACATTTTGCTATCTTATCCTGAGTACAGAGACTTCGATAAAGACTAGAAAAAGGCGCGCGCACTAGATGGGTTTGACAGTTGATGATGCCTTCACTTTGTCCATTTGAGTTCCCAACATTGTCATCTAAATGTTGATTTTCAAGAAAATTTTGGGTGGTTTTCACCTCAATCTGGAGCACATGCCCTGCAATTTTGCAAGAGAGCTCGACTGCATCGTTTAGTTCCCAACGTAGTTCCTATCCATGAAGTTTGGAGTGCAAGGCATGGGTCCACGCTAATCGAGTGTTGAGAGATCAAGGAATCCCCTGTTTGAATAAACTTACTAAATCAAGGTTGATCGGAGGAGCGTGGGAAGAAATATCGTAAAATCGTTCGTGATTCAAACTGACTCATTTCCCTGTTCTATAGTGGTTGGTTTATACCAAATGATTTATTTTTTGACAAAATATCATATAGTATGGTCCAAGGGGCATTTGGATACGTATAGGCCACCTCTCCCTTTTGTAAGTGTTTGACGGCGAAATGTATCCCAAACTTTTGAATGTAATCCTCCAGGCCTGCCGCTTGAGAGAGAAGGAGAGTGCGTAGGAAGCTAGCGTCAGATCTTATAGAGGCGACAGCACCGTAGTTTTGCATCATTGGCACTGCCTTCCTCGTGGGCGGACGTTTACTTTGAAAAATGCTCACTTGAAGTCCTTAGAACCTGGCCATTTACGTTGAACTTAGACTTGCCTCCAATTTGCACGCATTAGGAGCATATGAGTCGATTTCAAGGTCTGTATCCAGGAGTCATCCCTGGCAAGCTTTTTAGGATCTTGTGAAAGCATTTGCGACTGAACCGCTCTTCTGCTTGAAAATGGTAGATAAATGTGGAGAAATCAGAAAGAAAGACAGCTACGCTTTATTATAAAACTATCATTCCAGCATTTTCAGTAAAAACCATTCAGCATTCACCATGAATAAAATAAGGCACAGAAACCAAACAACACCGGGAAATTATACGCGATTTGCAATGCAATTGTCGACGTCTTCAAGAAATGTCCTCGAATATGTCGCAAAATGTAGACCGAATTGAACTACCTTCAAATCGGCGCTAGCCTTGTGCACTGATGACCTCAGTGTTGTTATTCAAATAAACAAAAAGGGGTAAAAATCGGTGTCTAATGCGCGTACTGGACCAACCGTTCGTGTTTATTATTGACCCAAAGTTTATGCATCCCGTAGTGGACGACCTCATGCCCCGCCACGTCAGTTGTCGTGGTTTCATCGAGCTCGTGGTCCTTGACAAGGGGAAAGCGACACCAGCATTTGAAGTATCCGCGTTCTTCTAGTCTACGATCACTAGGGTGAATATTCCACAAGAACTAGAGCGTATCCTACTCTTTGTTATTGGTCACGCTCGCCCTATTGTCCCTTGGGGCTCACTCTCAGACCCCGCTAACAGCCGCAAAATAACCTCGCCGACAAATAAAAGGAAGCTGGAATGGCCATTTGCGGCTTATTGGCCGTCACCAACCAACCCTCCACCGCCCCAGGTTTTACAACCCCGAGGCTCAACCTCGCGGCCTGTTCGTTAGAAAGAATTCCAACGCCCTAACCATTTGATAAATCTACGCAGACAGCACCTTAGAGCGCTGCATAAAATTCCATGAATATCGACAGTTTAATAAATATTTGCTGCAGATGTAGAACCAATAATCGACTTCAACAGTAGCTTACTGCAAGGGGTTTCAAATTTCACCATTCAGAAAATCATCGCTTACGTGTAGGCAAACGTCAGATTCTCGCATGAGCATAAACATGTTTTACCCAATGACATTTTCAGTTACTCATCAGCCCTGAAACATCTGATACGTGGCCTAGAAAAATGTTAAGGTGAGACTTTCGTTTCGCTGTCAGAGTCTACCAAGTCGCCTAAAATACCGTCACACTACGCGTGTCTTATAAAAATGAAGTGCTCTCCTACAATGTGAGTCGATTATTTTTATAGTTTACCGGTCGGAAGCCTCCTGCTGTATAGTCTGTTTGCAGGTAACGGTACGCTGGCGTATGCATTTACTTCGCCAATATTGAAAAAGCATACGTGTTGTGGTTTTTAAATTTGAATATTTGTGAACGCTTTTATTTCCAAATTTGAATAGAGAGAAACAAATAACACCGGCAATTGAATGGATAACAGGCGGGACTTTAAGCTCGAGAAACAAATATACACACATAGTAGGCTGGGCTGCTTCCTCTAAAGAAGGGAACAAGCAAATTGTGACCACATTAGCGACTGGACTCTGCACGTCTAGTATTTGTGAATGGAAGACGCAGGTGTCGATAGAACGGTAGCTTTCCGTCACACCCAACCGTCCACTACCTCACCAGTGAAATCGCTGCAACCATACAACCACAACTGTTGACTATGTCTAGAAAACACGGGTCATAGAGACGGATTGGTGCCTCACTTTCTCTCGACTCCACCGTGCCGA